AGGGAGGGAGAGAGAGAGATTCTCTTGTGTGGTGTTGAGATAGAGAGAGGGCGGGTTTTCTTGCATTCTGTTTTGGTTTGTTCTGAATTTTTATGTGACATGCCGTGTCTTTTTTCTGATTCCAGGATTTTGGAAACCCACTGTGCCTTCGTGGGAGAAGGAGTTCTGCACCTCAGTGTGCTGCATACCCTGGCCAAAGCTCTGCGAAACAAAGAAAGTGATGGGAATGTATGCAAATATTGTTCAATGGAATGACTCTGCCGGTGAAGAAGCATTTCACAATGCAAAACAGAGGTTTTGGGCCATGATTAATGGTATTCGCTGTGATATTGCTCTTCCTGATCCCGACATTTACATCGACAAAGTTGATTGGAACTCAAAAGTTGTTGATCCCGAAGATCTGTTTGACCCACCTGATATAGATACAACACTAGAAGATAACGAACAGTTTGGCCTGGGTTTCGAGAATACAAGGGTGATAAATGATGAAGAAACTGATAAACAGGTGCATTCAAATTTTGGTTGGGGGCCTGAGTTTTGTTCAAATAGGATTGGCAATGAATTGAATGATTTGGTGCCTTGCTCTGGCTGGGGGGATTGTGATGAACCTTCAGAAACTGTGAAGAATGATTATTCGCCCTCAAGTGGTTGGGAAATAACTGAAGATAATTCATGGGACCGTAGAGGATGGGAGACCGACTTTCAAGTATCTCATTTTCCTGATAAAATAAAAGATGGGAATACGTGGCAAGCCAGAAACATGAATTGGAGGAAGAGAGAGCAGCTCAATCGAAACGGGTCGAGATATAAGACCACAAGGTATCATCAAGCAGTTGCAGATGAGGCTCATGAGGATAATGGTGTTAATGGTGATTGGTTGGATTGGAAGGGAAGAAATAGAGTTGACTTTACTCACCAATGGCCTGGTTATCCTATCACCAAGGAAACTTTCGTGCCCCGACAATGGAATACTATCCAGTCATGTGCTTACCGATAAATAGTAAGCACCCATGTCCTATTGGAATTATTTCAAGAAAGAGAAATGGCTTCCGCGACCTCTTTTTGTATGGATAATATTATAGAACATGATGGTTGGATTTTATAAGTGCCCCAACAACAATACACACTGGGGATCTTCTCATCCCTTAAATGGGTAGCATTATGCATCGTGATGGTTGGTTTTTATAAGTGTCCCAGCAACAGTACACAATGGGATCTTCTCTTCATGTATTGTGATTTTTGGTTGGTATTCAACAGTCTCTTGTAAGACCTATTACTATATAACTTAATCAATTGGTTGTTTTTAACTTCTGTGTAGAAAGATGCATTTGATGCTCGATGTGTAATTACTGTTATTCCATAATCTCTGTGTTCCGACTCGAAAACCTGACTTTGTCGGAATTTTGTAAAGTAATGGTTCAAGCTTATTCCTGACATGTAGGTACTTAATGCAACTTTAAGGTTGTGGATTCGTATTCTGCTCATCTAGTAAAAAAGAAAATACAAAAAAGGAAGAAAGGTAAATGACAATGCTGTTAAAGAGTGGACCAGAGCTCGAACAGCTGGGATACCGATTCGGTCAGACTAGTCAAACCAGACCAATCAGCTGTCAAACCGGTCAAAAAACTGAAAAAGAATCAGAATCTGAAGATATATATGACAATTGTTTACGTAGCTCATGTGAAAATGATAGCATAAGCCACAACATGCTTTCATTCAGATTTTTCATGTGCTTTAAACAAAATATGTTTCTGAGCACCACGATAAAGAGTTATGTTAATAACTTTTCTGTCATTTGATTGTATATCCAACCGCTTGATTTCTGTTATATTATATTGAAAATTTGAGCTGCATTTAGCATGTAACTTAAACTGAGTCTCGTTCATGTAAATTCCTTGCTTGGTTTTATCAATAGTTGTGCCAGGTCGACTGAGCTACTATCATTTTTGCAATGTTAGTCTTTAAATATCCATGTCAATTGTCTTTAGCTGCCATATGTGGACTATTGTATTGCATGATTTGACAGTTAAAACTGCTTATCTGTGTATGTTCAAAACTTAATAAAATGGAACTTTTTGATGAGTCATGGACTTGTTAAGGGCAATGTTACTGTTAGGGCAGTGCATGATACGCTTATGGTGGACGTTCATGGGAACGATAAATGGTGGACGTTCATGTGACAGAAAAATTCCCCCATCCGAACACGAGGCTAAGGCATCATCGTCGTCAATATCATTGCTGTCCACATACACTCACTTCTTCCTCCTCCATGTCATGTGAGTCAGCCTCCTTGATCTCTGGAGCCTATGTCGATCTGGACCCAACTGTCTTCTTTTTTTAGTCTACTTCTAGGTGACATCCAACCACGTGAGTTCCTCACTCTCAAACAACCGCTCAGCTCGTAGATCTACTGTCCACTCTGTGCCCACGGGTTCATCCATTACAGTTGGGTCCACATGCATGTGCTTCAAGAACCTCTCCCTAAGGCACTCACAATATCGTACATAGACGAGATCATTCAACTTTTGCTGCTCTAGCCTATTCCTTTTTTTGATATTGAACTATGGTAACAAGCAAAGATACAATCATACAAGCAAAGGAGAGAAGATTTTACTTAACTTAAGCAATGGCCAACGGATATCTGTTTTTCTACAATCTAGATTCTAGAAAATTGAAAACTAAGCAAATAAAGACTTGTATGCTCAAATGCGCTCCAGTTGCGCTCACGACCAGATAAGTTGCCTGCGAGGCTCGACACTTGAATAGCGAGACGTTGGAGATTTTGTGTTTTGCTCCCATATATGATACCCATCACTCAGCTGCGTATTATTTTAGATATTTAAGTTTCATACAACAATACAAGTATAACAAAGTAAAGAACACACAACGAAGTTAAGAACTTTTTAGTCAAAGTCAAACTTTGATCATCTGACTATGTGGTATACCTGTTACTAATCATGATATCATGTCCAAAGTTCCTAAGTGCACCCTTGAAATTTATCAATTCATTACTTTGAATCCAATCTGTACAGAAAGGATCAGGGACCAATCTCTTGAGTAAATCTAAGAACCTTCCATTTATTGTACGATCCAATTCATTAGAAGGGTTCTTATAATGAAGAGATGGATTTAGAAATGCCCTATTGCATGGTGGGGCACCGGTGAAGCTGGGTTCCTATCAATAAGTCTAAATTCTGGGATAGTATTTGGTCTCATCATTCTTCAAAGTCATTTTTATCTCTTCGTTCATAGTAATCATACCCTCATGTATGTAGCCCATGGCACGCCGTGCATTTCCTTCCACCAATTGATGCACTTTCACTAAAGGGCGAGACATTTTCGATGAATAGTAGTAGAATTGGATCTAGAGGGATGTGCTAAGAACAATTTTCTCTATTATTTCCGATCTTGATGCCTTGACCTCTTGTTTTTTGGGCACTTCTCTGAAGTGAACATGCTCCTTAGGGCATTTTATTTCTTACATAGGTTTTGAAGAGTGAGAATTGGCATGTCAAATCTAGTGACTCCTGCTCTCACTATCTGCCTCTCTTTTTAGTAAACTCTCTCATCATGGGTAGGTAATTGACTATAGATGAAATCAATGAGAAACTTAGCTTTTGTGTTTGCATGTTTGACCTTAGATGTCTTTGCTATGTCCTCAAGCATGAAATCAAGACAGCGAGTAGTGCAGGGACCCCAAAACATATGCCTCCTCTCCAAAGTCAAGATATCCCCCAACTGCAGAGTGATTAGCACCATTGTTAGTGATAATTGGTACCACATTGTTTTCCCCAAAAAGTTCATCACATGACTTGTCCAATGCATCAATAGATTTTAACAAAAAAAAAAAAAAAAAAAAGCGTCGAAGGGAGAATTGACCAAAAAACTTAATAAATGCTCTAGAACTTTCCATCATACCATCCATCACATATGATAGTCACCCCATACTTCTCTCACCGTTCTTTTATATAACTCAAAGTTTTATTCACGGCATCCTTCAAAAGAGGCTCCCTAAGCTCACGAAATGAGGGGGTTTGAGCTTGGGCCCAAACGTTCTATTGCATCCACTAGAACCTTGAATCTATTGAGGGGTGTTGACAAGAAATCCGGCTTTCCTGTCAACACCCATCTCCTTTCTTGTTTCTATGTTCAAGTGTCCTTTTATTTTTTTTATTTTTTATTTATTTTTATTTTTATTTTCTGCCTATCCTCTTCGGGGTTAGGGTTGCAAAATGCATCCATTGGCCCCTCAGAGAGAGGCCTATTATGTCTAACATATCCACCATTATTTAGTACCGTGTCCCTTATAACCCTATGCCTTCTTCCACCTTTAGAGTCTTCATCATCCAATGGTTCTTTTTTTTTTATTTCTTTACTTTTTCTTTTGTAAGGCTATCAAAGTATGCTCGAATCTTTCTTCTAATCGCATTTGTAGCTTGAGGGCATGCCCTTACATCCCGGGTAATTCTGACAAGGCGTGCTCAGTGATTTAAAAAGTGGACCCCCCAGCAGCCGGAGAGGAGATCTAGAAGGCCTGGGCGCATCGCCCATGCCTAGGCAGGAAATCCTTGGGCGCCTGCCTAGGTGCCTAGGAACCCGCCTAGACTGGCACCCAGACCCAGGGGGCCTTCATTGAGGGCATTTTTTTGGTCTTTTTTTAATATTAAAGGGGCACAATTGTGGGTTTACCTAGAACCTATTACAGCCTATTTTAGAGAGAGAAAAACCCCAAAAAACTAGTTTTTGGTGATTTCTATAGGATCGAAGGGTTTTTCAAAGTTACGAGAAATTGATCTAAGCATCACCCATTGATATTAGATTTAGTTTTGGATGTTTTATAAATCTATTAGAGGTTTTTTTAGAAGATTTTGAGTCCTTAGAAACATCTTAGAGGTGGAAGTTTGGAGATCGAGCAATCAAAGTTAGTGATTTTTTTTTATTGCTTGTATTATTTTGATATGTCTTCTTCGGGATCTAATCAAAGTGGTGATCCGGGTTGGAAATATGGCTACAACCCGAATCCTTTGGATAAAAATTGCATAAGATACAAGTTTTGTGAAAATGATACAAAAGGGGGCATAAACTGGTGCAAGAAACATCATGCATGTATCAGGGGGGATGTTGCCCCATGTAAATATGCTGTTAAAGAGGAGATAAACAATTTTTTTGATTCTTGTAAAAATGAAAAACGATGAGAGGCATGCATCCGTTTGGGGTTTGGTAACTTTGGTAATTTGGTTGGTAAATTTTAAGTTTTAACTATATGTGGACTGTGGAGTGTGGACTATCAAACTATGGATAATTGGATATGGACTTATGGTTATGGAGTATGGAGGAGTGTATGCTATGTGGACTTGTGTACTATACGTTTGATGTGCCCTAAATCCCTAATGCTTATGTTTTATGCAATTATATTTATACAAACTATAGAGACATTTTTCTTTCTATTGGGCCGCTTAGGCTCTGGGCACCAGCCTAGGTGCTGGGCAGCCTTGACCTCCCCAGTCGCATAGGCGCCATCTAGCACTTTTTGAAACACTGGATGTGCTTTTTTCCGGAAGATACCCTCTAAATATGTTTTCTCACATGGTATACAAAAAGTACTATTTTGATCTTTTGGGTTGTTGAGTCTTGAATCTCCATACCGGATCTTTGTTACTGGATGATGAAGAAGACATTTATTCAAAGAAAAAAGTAGTGCGAGAAGAAACTTACCAAAAGAAGTTGATCCTTGGTTCTAGACTTTAGATACCAAACCCAAAATTGAAAGAAGTTTTGATTTCTAGTTTTTAATCTCCTCAGCCTTGAATCCGTTAAATATTTAGTGAATCTGCACTCTAAACCTTTAAAATGATGCCCAAAACAATATCAAACAAATATCAAACAATTACTCAAAGATGTGAGGAAAAAACCCCATTTTTAAAAAAAGAACTTTGGGAACACAATTTTCATTTCCTTTTCTGAGTTTTGATCAATAAGACCTGGAGCGGCATCAATACAAAGTTAGAACTTTGGGGGGATGCTTTAGAATCAAAATATTTTAAAATTAGCCGGACCAAGATAATATATAGAATGCAAGTTTAGTAATAATAGGAGCAGAGACGAGGAAGTAGTTAAGTTTGACGGCCAAGAATTACCAAAAAGAGCGCATTTTTGATATCTTGGGTCAATAACCCAGGAAAATAGAGAGATTGAGGAAAATGTCTCACATAGAATTAGAGTTGTATGGGCAAAGTAGAGATGTGCGACCGAAGTTTTATATGATCACCGCATACAAATGAAACTGAAGGGCAAGTTCTATAGGACATATGTGAGACCAGCTTTGCTTTATGGGATAGAATGTTGGGCGGTCAAGAAACAACATACCCATAGGATGAGTGTAGCTGTGATGGATGAGTAGCAAGACAACAAGGGAAAGAATTCGAAATGAATACATTTAGGAGGACTTAGGTGTGGCTCCAAATGGCTATAAGATGAGAAAAAGTAGACTTAGGCAGGCTGACCATGTGTAACGTAGACTGAGTACAACACTTTTTAGGAGATGCAAGTTAGTTCAAGTGGAAGGTTCAGAAGGGCAAGGGATAGGCCCAAAAAGACGTGGTTGGAAATAGTGAAAAAAGATATAGTGGCTTATGGCTTCACTGAGGGTATGACCTTTAATAGAGCATAATGGCGGACTAGGATTTGTGTAGCCGACCCAAACAGTTGGGAAAAGGCTCCAATGATAATGATGATGATGATGAATTATGAAGAACCATGGTTCTAGGAGGTTTTGACCCATCAGCAAGGTTAACTATGCTGGTGCTCCTTTCCCCGCCTTTTCAGGAAGGTTTGGGTTTTTTGGTTCTGCTCGTGAGCAAGGTTTCCACCCATCGGCAGGGTTAGCTATGCTGGTGCATTGCACCCGAATGCGATGCACATGCACCCACACACATTGCAAATTCCTGCCTATTTGGGGTGGTGCAATTCGCCTACAGCCAGATAGCGCATCACGTGGCCGCATGATGCTTCATTCGACGACATTTGTTAGCAATGATTGAGATTTTAACATACTTAATACATTATTTTCTATTAAATTTTACTTGGTGATAAACACAATTTTATATTGTGCTAAACAGAAATACGTCAAGTTTATAGAATGATCAAGGAGATCGTTTGTCCAGTGGCTAGCCTCAATATGAGCACATGCATTCTAATTTCAAATTAATTTAGCTCATTACATTGAGTTTTATTCATTAGGCAAGTACTGTTTACAGTAAGTTTTGTTCATCTCTTAAGGTAGGTTACCACTGAATGTCTTTATTTTCTTCAAGTAACTTATATATCCATTATGGACCACATTACTTGCCTTTTAAATCCTTTTAAATCCTTATTTTGACCTTGCAGCTACTTTTTCTTGGTAGGGTTCCAAATTTTGAATTTGCCTTGAACGTTTCCTTTTCTGATAGTGACATATCGGTTATGACCCATGTAATTTACTAATTAGATCTTGTGGCCACTTTTTGGGTGAGTTTTTTGTTCCAAAATCAAATTTAAATTTTATGTGTTAATTTACTAATTAGATCTTGTGGCCACTTTTTGGGTAAGTTTTTTGTTCCAAGATCAAATTTATATTTAATGTGTTCTTTCTTTTCAGGTCACTTGCAAATAAGGTATGAACAGCATAACTTAGATTTAACTGTATTCCATAGTATAAGCCTTCTTTGGTCATATATATTCCCAATAGACCTATCAGTCATGATCCAATGTTAAGTGGGATCACCATCCAATGTAAGCAGGTATGTGCTCCCATGACGGGTCAGCTCCGGGGTCGTGGAACACTGGAACTGCAGTTTGGAAGCAGGACCATTCCGTATGATGGGTGCTTGTTGTAACTATGTGATTTAGGACCAAGGGTGCTTGGATCTTAACAAGTCATATAGCTGTTGCTGTGCTTTAAACATGGAGCAACAATAGTTTAGGTGGTTAAATCACAAAAAAAAAATGAAGGGCTTCTACGTAATAGTCAGGGAAGCTAAAGATGGGGACAGTATAGCTATGGTTGCTGGTTGAAGTTTAGGATGGATAGGGTAAGTGTTGGTATTAAATCGAGGGAGGTTATAGGGAGTGTTGGTTGCTGGAAATTACCAGTCCAGCAACAGCTAGTATAATATTAGAATCAACCTTATAGGTTACTTTTATCAATGGTGGTCTCACCTGTTTTTGTACTTGCCGTCCCTCTGTGAGGATAGCCGGAGTTTTCTGGTTAGCTTTTAGTCAGAGCACCCGAGATGTGGGCCGTCATGTACCTCTCTTCCTCATTCGCTCTCTTCACTGCTGTCTTTTATTCTTTCTCTCTCTTGCTTCTCATGCCTTCCGAGCATCCAGCCTTTGGGCTGCCAGCAATGGGCATGGGAGACTTTTTATAATTTTGTTAAATATTAATACACAGTACAGTCAACCTTGCTGAAAAGGAAAAAATTGGAATCAATCTAAATTAAAATTAAGGTGGTTTGGAAGTAAGGCGATTAGATCTATAAAAGGAAAATTCAATTTGGGTGACATGGAGGGGATTGAGGCATTTGATTTCATTTTTAATGACTGATTTGCAGGAGAGGGATGAGGAAAAAATGGGTTAAGGCTTGGAAGGATGAAGAAGATGGTTCCACTAGGTTTTAGATGGTTTGAGGGAGATCAACCCTAACATTAGCAAGACCAGCAAGCGTAGAGGATAGATTTTGGGGCCATGAGATTAGATAAAGCCTAATCTAAGGCTTCAGAGTGTACGGGTGTGGTGATGGCTATTGGAAGTAGAATATGAGCTTACTAGGGCTTTAGAATGATAGTTTTAAGAGGAT